GGCATGTTAGCAAACAAGGCATGTAACTCAGACAAACCAAACTAACAAGCACATACAAACAAACATAAAAAGACTTATAAAGTCACCTCAATGACGGTTATCCTGTGGAGCTTTTCCCAAGATGGATCCTCTAGCTCCAGAAGTGGTACTCGTGCCTGAATACCGACACACACAATAATCACAAAATGGTTTTTTTAAAACAAAATCGTGCATGTATGTAATGTTATGCTCGACCGAATAAAACCCGATCCTAATTATCCGATTATGGAAATTCAAGGTCTAAGCCAAACAAGGTGTTCTCTCACCTAAACTTCAAAAGATCAGGATCTAAGGTCCACCGAGCCCAAGCCCATCTAAGTCCAAAATCGATTCTCAGGCCTAAAGCCGACTTCCTTGAGTCCACAATTATCCAATTATGAAATTGGGCTTAAAGCCCGTTACTTAAGTCCAAAAGATATCCTCAAAGTTAAATGTTGGGCTTGGGCCCGGTTTCCTAATTTTTCGTTCTAAGGTCATTCCCGAGCCCAAGATATCCCAGCCTAAGGTTCTATCTGTGTCGGTAAGTTTCCGGCCACACACACTCATTGCCCGCTCACGGTTTCCACTAAATCTCGTTATAACTAACATGTACATATACTCAAAATATTCCATGAATTATGTACAAAAGATACGGTAGAGACTATATTGAAAAATACTGTATACAGCCGAGGGAGAAATTCTGTCCGCTAGAAATTACCCGAGTCCTCGCCGAAAAATTCCCGAGCCTCGCCGGATTCCTGTAACCTTGCCGGAAAAATCAATAACAAAGCCAACAACAACTACAACGAATCTGCCACCACCTAAAACCAATTCAACAATACAGAACCAGCAACCAAACTACACGAGGGAACTAAAACTAGAAAGAGAGAGACCAGAATTGCTTACCGAAACTGATTGTTCACTCCTGAATCCCTCAAACCAACACTGCAACCCCTCTGTTTAGAAATGCCAACACTGCCATAAACCTAACAACATCCAAAACGAATTCAACCTCAACACACCTTCACAGTTTAAAAAGCGAATTGGAACAAGGGAGGGAGGATTAAGATCCTTACCAGAAACACAAACTCCACTACCCGACAAATTCTGCCTAGAAAAAGAGGAACAATCCAAAACCGACCTACAATCTGACCCAACAACAAGCCACTGCCGTCCCGAGCAGATGCCGGCCACCGACCCGAGACCAAACAACACACCAATCAGAAATCCGACACAGAAAACCCAACCGGGTTAATCCACCAAAACGAGAAGAACAACAAAAAGAATAGAGGAAGGGAGGAAGGGCAGCGGCTTACCGGTAAAACGTCGACACAACGGCGGTGACACCGAACTCAAACCTCGAGTTGTCCGCCCAGAACCCGTCACCCTCAAGCCTCCCTTCTTCGATTTCGGGCGGCGATCGGCGATAACAACTACAACAGTGGTGCGGCGTGGAAAAGAAAAGAGAACAAGGGGCGGCGGCGGTTGGTGTGAGAGAAAGAGAAAACTGGCTTAGTGAAGGAAAGCGATGTGGAGAGCAGAAAATGGAAATAATAGGTAAGAAAAGAAAAGGAAAAGAGAAGTTAGAGGGAGATGTCCAGCAGTTACTGCCATAATTTGAGGAGCGGAGATCGTGGGCAGCTGAGCAACTGCTGCGGGAAAAAGAAAGAAGAAAGAAAAGAAAGGAGAGAGAGAGAGAGAGAAAGGAAAGAAAGAAAAGAGAAAAGGGTTAGGGTTGGCCGGCTTTGACCAAAACGACGTCGTTTTGGTCTAAGGCGCGGTCAACTCTCCCTAGTCAACGCGCCCTTAGGTTTTTAGTTTTTATTATCTCTTTCTCTTTCCTTTAAAACCAAAACGACGTAGTTTTAACTACCATAAACTCCCCATCTCAATTCGAAACACGTTTAATTCCGATGAAGCCCGAATAAAGGACAAAACCAACTCGAAATAAATATTTCTCAAGGAGAAATAATTATTTTCCATGACCAAAATCCAGAAATTCCTCGAGGGTAAAGTTGGAATAAAAATTCCAAAAATTCCATAAATTAAATTATGAAAATCTGGGGCGTTGCAATCAACCTCATGCTCCCCAATCTGCACTGTGTTAAACACGCTTCCTTCCTTTGGCACAGGTCTATTAACTTGCATGGCATTCAAGATCCTTAATGACCGCATCTTGACTTGCTCTCCTTTGAAACTTTCCTCCCCCAAGGAATCCCCCGCCGACTCCTTCATGATTGCACTAATCTTGTTTCTGTATGGGCAGTCGTAGACTTTGTGAGCTCCCTTGCACAAGTAGCATTCTATCTCTCTAGTTTTGCCACCGTTAGACTTTCCCCACTTGGACTTCTTGTCTTTTTTCTTTGGTGCAAAAGTTATGGCTTCATCCTCACTCCCACTCGTGCACTCCTCTGAAGAACTGGGATTGGACTCCTTTCCATACTTCGTTAATGATTCAGCGATCCGGATTGCATCCTTTAGTGTCCTTGCATGTCGATCATCGACCTTGGTTCTTGCCCACCTCTGAAGTCCATCTATGAATGCACCATATCCCTCTTCTTCAGTCATTGAAGGGATTTCGAAAGCCAGCTCCTGAAACTCGTTGACGTACTTTTTTATGCTACCATCGTGCTTCAATGCTCGCAACCTGTCTCGCACCTCCCTCTCAGCATACTCCGGATAGAATTGGTCCTTCATTTGCTGCCTGAATTGATCCCAGGTCCAATCCTAGCACCCCTCTCCAGTAGTGCGTATCCGTCGCCACCATAACACTGCAGAATTAGTAAAGTATCTCCCTGCGATCTTCACCTTCTGTTGGTCATCCGTGATATTTAAGCCATCAAAATACTCTTCACAACTAAACAGGAAGACATCCACTGCCTTTGCTGTCCTCGTGCCATCGTACTCCTTTGGCTTTGGAATATCGATCTTGGACAGCACCTGTTGTTGCTGAAGTAGCGCAACTTCTTCCATCATGGCAAGTTGCCTCTTGCATAGCTTCAAATCATCACGCATCGACCTTAATTCTACAAGCTCGTCAACTATCTCTACCAATGCTTTATTAAAACCACCATCGAGCTCTGTGAACTGCGACCTGAGTGCTTGTACATCACCAGTCATGTCCTCGTTGCTAGCTTCACAATTAGAGATACGATCTTCAAGCTTGTCTAGGCGCCCACCAAGGATGCCTTCTTCTCCAATGGTTGCCCCAACCATCTTTACCGACTCACCAAGGTTATGATGCCAATTCTCTACTCAAGGAAACTATACAGCTCCCACCAAGAGAACTGTGCAACCCACAGCACCAAAGTAATCCCCCTTCAAGTAAATTTTGGTGAAGCAAATACCTACTCAACAAACTCTCCAACAAAGTGCTTACAACAAAAAACTCCACAATAATCTAATTATCTCAATTTCCAACAACCCCTTCCAAGCAAATATTACAAGCATTTCACAGAAATACAATAACAAAACTTGCTTTTACTAGGAAATTGAAATAAACAGATTTCAGGCAAATTAATTCCAACTAACAAGATCAAGCAACACACTTGGCAATGCAAAAATTCCAACCACCAACAACACAATTTTCTCAATCCAAGCCAACTCCTCTAACAAAAGAATGATCAAACCTGGAATGAAAATTTCTTTTGGTAATTGCAAACTCTGCCTTCAATTTATTCTTGTTATTCTTGATTCCCCTACCAGCCAACAAGATATCAAAGCTTCAATTCCCCCTCCAACTCTAGCAGTCAAGGGCTATGATCTTCACAAAGAATCTTGCAAAGCTCCGCTACCAACTGTCACGGGCACAGAATTTAGGGCTGCGGAAGATGCCCGTACGGTTCAAGCCTCAGCTTGATCAACCTAAAAATACACCTATGGAGAGAATTGGAAGAGAAGAGAGAAAGGAATTGGGAAAAGCTTTGTGTATTATATTAGTGGTGAAAGAATACAATACACTCCCATACTTTTCTCCTCCTATGTCATGCACTATTTATAGGCTACACATAAGAGTTCAAACTCTTTATTTCTTATCCAACCTATTTGAATTCAAACTAATTTAAATCATACCTAATATTCAAACTAACTTAAATTCAAACAAGCACCTATCTTTATTTAAATTTGAATGGCCACTTCAAATTTAAATATGATAAGCACAACCACCACGCACACATCCCGGGCTCATGGGCTTCCGGTGTGCCTTCGGGGCCCATCCCGTGACAAAACGGCCCAGGGCGCCTATAGCCCTTAAGAGTGCTGCGTTCTCAAGATTCGAACTCGAGATCCCTTGGTTAAACTAGAATAATCCTAACCAGTTGTTCTAATCCATCAGAGTTGTGGACTCTTTTTTGACCAGGCTGGATGCAACTTAAAAATTTTATTGGCCTCTCTTTATTACCAGAATAAATAAATAAAACACCTCTCTGTATTCTTCCACCATCAGTAGCCATGGTTGTTAAAACCAGCCCGGTCTTGGTCAGTTGAATCTGAGTCATTGGACCGAAAGGTAAGTAAAGCTGTACTAAAAGAAAAGCCCTTCCGGTTCGTGCGGCATAGTGACCCGGCCGGTTCTGAGCGGGTTTTACCGTATTTACAGGGTTTTTCAAACTCGTAGCCGAGCTTGCTAGGTCAAACACATCCCTCCCTACCTACTTTTTTTCCTTTCCCCCAATTCACAAAACCCTAAAGTTACTTCTTTTAGATGCTAAAAACCCTAAAATTACTTACCAGACCACCAAACACAAACTCTCGCCTTTGTCTCCTCTCTCCCTCGATCACACTTGCCGGAAGCTTGTCACTGCTACCTCTCGCTCCGGAGAACTCACAGCTCGCCCAGTAAATTCAGCTCTCTCAGCACCACCAGGGGTGACACCCCCGAATACAGCTCTCTCTTACACCCTTCAAAAACCTTAAATTTTTTTTTCCCCAATCCAAAAGTAGGGTTTTAGCAAAGATTCAATCTTTATCGACTCGAAAGAGCAATGGAGGAGATTGTCAATGCTGACCCCAAGGAGGTCGTAAAGAAGTAAGTTCTCGACCCTTTCCCGATTAAATTTACACCACAAGAAGAAATTGGGATTCTATTTTATATTGTTCTTATGCCTTTTCTATATGTTTTGAGTAGAGAAGCTCCACAATTAACCGCTGTATTGAAAGAAATGAAAGAAGGGTTAGATTTAGTTAGGAGCAAGGTGCAGGCTTTAACCGCTAAGGTGAGGAATCATCGACTTTTTCAACCAATAAATTATGGGTTCTGTAAGTTATGGGGTTTTTTAAATTGTAATAATCTTTTTCTGCTTTTATCTGTATTAGGTGAAAGCAAATAGTTTTCCTACTGGAGATGGCATAAGCTATCTTGAAGCTAAGCATTTACTGCTCCTGAACTATTGTCAATCACTCGTTTATTATACCCTTCGCAAGGCGAAAGGCTTGTCGGTTGAGAAACATCCTGTGGTTCAGAGCCTTGTGGAGATTAGGTTGTTTCTGGAGAAGGTTAGGGGACTCCTTTTCTGTTGCTTCATGCTTGCCATTGGCTTGTATTAGGAGTGCTAGAGATAATTGTTTGTTGGATAACAGATTCGCCCAATGGACAAGAAGCTTGAATATCAAACTCAAAAGCTTATGAGAGATGCTGGCCACGAAAATGAGCAAGTAGGAGTGAAGAAGGGAAAGGACTCGGAGGCATCTGGGAAATCAGAAGATCTTCTCAAATACCGCCCCAACCCAGATAATCTTCTTGACAAATCTGATCAGATGCCTGCGGTTAGTGTTAATGATTATGCCAGACCACTAGTTTCTTGGGAATTGATTTGGAAGTTGGAACTATTTTCTTGCTCTTTTGCTGAGTGAGTCCATGTTTGTGTATTCTAGGGAGGGGGTGTGTATCGACCACCCAAGATTGCCCCTGCTATGATAGATGAGGATAAGATGTCGAAACAAGAAAGAAATGCCTTGAGAAGACAGAGACATACCTTATGGCAGTCTAGACAAGGTTACATGAAAGAAATGATTGATGATTTTGCAGGGAGGCCTGAGGAGGTTTGTTTTCTTTTAAATTATTATCTTTTGATTCAAAGGCGGCAACTGTGAGACAAAGTCGACAGATTTCCACCTTTGCTTGGACAACTTTATATTTCTTTTTAAATGGCCCAAATGATTTCTGAGCACATATCTGATGCAGGTTAAAGAAAATGATGGAATTGAGACCAAGGAATACCGTAGATATCAGGAAAAATGGGAACAGCGTGAACAAGAGGAAGAGGAGCTTTTCACCCGTGCTCCTCTTACAAAAATGGAGAAAAAGCAGCAGAAACACTTGAAAAAGTCAAGAAATGGGTATGCATATTTCAGAGTTGAGAATGCAATTATTAGTCTTCACCTTCTTTCTTTTTTTTTTTTTGTCTTTCCTATGTTTGGTATAGATGCAATGCTTAAGATAAGACTTAAATCCAAGTTCTAAACCCTTCTTGGCCTTCTAGGCTTTCAAGATAATCAATGAGCTACAGGCTCATTGGTAATGCAAGTTTCTTGTTTAGTCCATAAAACCTGTTAAAAACATCAGATATATTTTACAGCTGGCAGTGTGTTACTTCTTGTCCTTAATGTCTTACTTTCTTGTCCTAGGCTGCTTGGTTTGACGGAGAGTTTCTATGATGACCTCAAAACTTTACCTTTGGATGATGATACGAGTAACCAAACAGCTGGTTTTGGTGGCGGAAGCAGTGTAGGAAAGCTAAAAAAGCGCAAGGTATATCATATGAGCACCTCAAAATGATCCATGATTTCTTTATCTTGTTTTGGTTACTGGAATCTTAGAGCTACCATCTCTCATGTATAATGTCATTGTTGATTCTCCTGTGAGACGCTTAAAATTTGGTATTCTTGGCTATTTGATTAGTTAGTTCCACAGCAGCGTCATTACTTGTTTGGTGGCCTCATTCTCTATAGTTTCTTCATGCGGGCATGATCATATTTGCGAGGGATTAATATGTGGCTTTGAAATTTTAGCAAGGTTGAAACCATAGCGTCCAGTACCTGCACATGATTTTGTGCATTTATTGACTTTTCTTTTCCCTCTGTATATTCAGCATTCATATGCTCATTGTAGTGCAAGGGAAACAAGATGTCCTAGAATTTGATTAACTTGATCTTAACATTGTTTTCACCAATTTGCAGCGGAGGTTTTGAGGGTAAGATTGGGATCTTCAGAAGTGTTGTCCAGTGTTCCATTTCAGTTTTCAGTTTTATGACTGAGTTGCCTGCAATAGAAAGTGCCAAAGAAAATTTCCAGCTATAATGCAAGCGAGAGGCAAGAATTTCTGATATGCTAATGATGGGACAGACAGATTTTCTTTCATTTGCAGTGTAACTTGGTTATAAGCATCAATTTTGTAACTTTGGATTCAGGAGTTGGAATTTAGTAATTTGCAGTGTCTGTATCATAGACGCAGTTTGCTTTGCTTCAATAGAAACTTTTGGTTTTACAGGCTAGGACAGGGACTCGAACTCGGTACCACTTGAGCTACTGCTCATTGGTTGCTTGAATAGAAACTTTAAATACCTCTAGCCCGATTGATTGATCATGATGAACAAATAATAGCAGTGGATCTTTTATTTTCTATTCTAACTAGATGCAAACATAACCTAATCACCGATATCCAAAGGAATGCTTATTAGGAATGGCTTCTCATCCGCCGGCACAGGTGATTACAGTTTAAGACAATCCACCAAAGGAATCAATTCCATGGACCGGCAATTGTACTCGTGAAGAGTATGCTTAGGGCTGAATAACTAACCAAAGCTGTCCTTGATGAACACAAAGACCATGGCATCCTGCGAAAAAAACTATGATACTCGTTGCGTGCCAGATTCGCTTTGACTTCTACACCTAAGAGGTCGATCCATTTTAGCCTTAGCAGTAATCGTTCCATATCCATGACATTATCAGAATTTCCTTTGGTCGAATCGTATATAGAATTGGGATTTTGTATTTTGGACGATAACCATTCATTTCTGGCGTAAGAACCATTCATTTGAATTGGTTTATCTCTGGACTTTTTTCATCCTTTTCTTATGGATATGTGCATAAGTCTTTCTACGGGATATACATATCATAATGAAAGGATTTTCTTATGGGTTAATTGTTTTTTTTTTTTCTTTTGAATGGGTGAATTGAGTTATGTCCCCGGCGACCCCTCAACTACTCAAAGTACCAAATTTAATAAAAAGCATAGGTAAAAATGATACCATGACCAAATTTAATAGTAAGGTTGAGTACAAATACCAAAAATGATTTTTTTGGTAGGTAGATCCATTTAGTGCATCATTTTATGGCGCAAATAGAAATTACAGATCCAACTTCCAAAATTTTCTAATTTTCCTGAGAAAGGTAGATATCAATCTAGTGCATTATTATTTTGCGTTGCAGATTGAAATTCCACCTCTAGCTTCCAAAATTTCCAAATTTCCTTAGAGAAGTATTCCAAATTAGGCTTTAAGCGCAACGATTCAAGCATCATCATATATACTGGTCTACATCTATGGCCTATATAGCCTCCACTGCCATGGAGTAGAAGAAGAGAAATCTACATCATCAATCACTTTCCCCTCTCTAGAGTTATTTTTCCTCCTTCACCCGTTGGGGGCTTTTCTCTCGTTATAAGCTTCCATTTACATTTACATTATCTGTTTGCACAAACAAAGGTTCCTGCAACCAAAGTATCTAGCGACCTTGATTAAGACATGGAAATTGAGATCACCCTGAAAGAAACTATCAAGCCATCTTCTCCTACACCCGCTGACAGAAGAAATCTCAAGCTTTCTCTTCTGGACCAGTTCATGCCAGTGACTTACACATCCCTTATTCTCTTTTACCCCGCGAGTGAAAACCGTGATCGGCATGCAACAGCGGCAGAAAGATCCCAGCAACTGAAGAAATCTTTATCAGAAACCTTAACTGAATTCTACCCTCTTGCCGGCAGACCAAAAGATAATGCCTCAATAGAATGTGACGACCAGGGAGCCGAGTACATTGAAGCACGGATCAAATGTCTTCTATCAGAGTTTCTAGCGAAGCCCGAGCTGGAGGTTCTGAAACAACTCCTGCCTGCAGCTATAGAATCAAGTGAAGCCGCCACAGGAAGCCTGTTGCTGGTCCAGGCCAATGTTTTTGATTGTGGTGGCATGGCAATTGGTGTTTGTGCTTCGCATAAGATTACAGATGCAGCGACTTTGACTACATTCCTCAAATGCTGGAGCCGAAAAGCTGCTAAATCCAAAGATGCAGCAAGACCAGTGTTCTTGGGTGCATCCATTTTCCCGCAGATGGATGCCTCAATCTCATCCTCCATTAGCTCCACAACCTCATCGATTGAGTTGATCCAGAGTGAGTGTGTTATGACGAAAAGGTTTGTGTTTGAAGCCTCAAAGATTAGCTTGCTCAAAACAAAAGCAGCATGCCAAACTGTTCCGGAGCCAACCCGGGTGGAAGCTGTGTCTGCACTGATATGGAAATGTGCAATGGCTGCTTCAAAATCCAACCTGGGATTTCACAGAAAGTCTCTGTGGGCTCTTGCTGCCAATCTGCGCAAAAGGCTTACCCCGCCATTGCCAGAGAATTCTGCTGGCAATTGCGCTTGCTCCGTCCTAGTGCGTGTGGGGGAGGATGCTGCAGAACAGGTAGACTTGCGAGACTTGGTGGGTCGAATAAGGAAAGGGAACCGGGAGTACGATGAAACTCACACCAAGAAGCTTCAAGGAGATGGAGCTTCGCTAGCGCTTTGTGGGTTTGCCAAAGAATATGGAGAGTTGGCGGTGAGTGGTGACATGGACTTTTACAATTGCACTAGCTGGTGTCGATTTGAACTATACGATGCTGCAGATTTTGGATGGGGGAAGCCAACCTGGTTGAGTGTAGCGGCCGGTTCAACGATAAAGAATGTGGCGATGTTGTTGGACGCAAGGGATGGTGCTGGAATAGAAGCTTGGTTGTCCTTGAGCCAAGAGGACATGAACTTGTTTGAATCTAATCAAGAGCTGCTAGAATTTGCAGCAGTAAATCCTAGTGTATCTATCTATCCCTCACCTAATCAAACCCACAAAGAGCTAGCAAGGTAAGTGTTCTCTTCCCAAAGGCTAGGCTGGCTAGCTAGCTCTGTCAGCCATATATACTTAGTCCGGTTCCAATCTCCATTTTTCTTTCAATTTATGGTTGACTTACTTACTTACAGATAGTATTAGTGACACAGAGATTATCGCTGCCTTGTCAAGGATTGCAAAGTGAAGCCTAGGCTTCCTCTTTATTTCTTGTATCTTGAAGTGAGGATGGACAGTTAACCTGACACTAATATTAAGTTGGGGTGCAATAATCAGATTTATATTTAATAAAGCAGCATCATCCGCTGTTTGCTTGTCCTTTTCTTCTCTTTTTCCCTCTTTTTGGTCTTCCATTCCAAGTAAAAAGGATGCTAAACTTGGATAAACGGGCCGAGTATTATCCAACAGTTTCAAAGAGGAGGGTGCACTGCATGGCGAAATAAGTTTGGGCTTCAGCTCACTCGACACGCAAACCACTACTAACTAGTGTGGCCTCGGCTCAAAGTTTAAAGTAGTTGGACTTGGGTCTGGGGGGCTTAAACTAAATAGTAAATAATCAACAGCATTTTTCTAGGCACACCCAAAACAATGCTTAAGATAAAGCCTAACACCATACTGGACCTGGACCTATTTTCAATGTTTTTTACAAGATGCCTTTTTTTTTTTTTTGTTTACTTGCAATAACTTTGGTTTTGTTTAATTTTGTACTGGAAACATGCAATCTAACTTTATCAAAAATTTTAAATAATATTTTTAATGTTTTTATATATTTTTTATGTATTTTACTATTTTTTACGAATAAAGTGATTTTAATTCTTTAGTAGTTAGTAATAAGTTAGATTAGATACAAGACTACATAAAATTTTGTTCCATTTATTACTCACAATGTCTTTGATCCATGCTCCCTCCAACGGCAAAAAAAAAAAAAAAAATGCTCCCTCCATTCCATTTTAATTAACGTTTAAGGAATCTACATAGCTATTAAGAAAGCACATCAAATAACTGTAATCTTAAGAATCTATAATGCACTTAAACTAGATTATTCTTACTTGAATTTTTCATAGGAGTGTCTGGTTCTAGGGATAGTGAGCAAAAATGAGAAAATCTCATTAATTATCCCTAGAATATCCATGACAATTATTTTGAAAAAAAATTAAGTTGCTTAAGCGTCAATTAAAATGGGTTGGAGGGAGTAGGTAAGCAAACATGATTTGTAAATAAAAGGGTCGAGACAAACATTCCTGCTAACCCACACTGTCTTTGTTGGAACAGGGAGGGTTGTCGCTGACCATAGATGGGTTTGACAATGCCCCTTTGTAGATTAGTCGGCTCCGTCCAAATATCTATAAAGAAACCAAAAATAGGTTAGATTAGTTTATGTAATCACAATATTTACATATGTTAGAAGTATCGAAACTATCCAAAATCAAATATGCATAGTATATATATAAAATAATACAATAAGTGTCAGTTGATGGGATAGATTTTAATAAATACAAATTTTATCACAATATTTTTTAGTAATGTTGATTTTTAGAATTTTAAAAATTTAAGAAAAAGCTTTAAGTATTTATATTTAATTTGTACCATTCTCTTAAAATAAAATAAAAGTTTATTTATCAATAAATAATATCATTTATTTTTAACAAAATATAAAACAAAAAAAATTTATTTATTGATAAATAATATCATTTATTTTTAATATGATAAATATTGTAAGAAGCTTATGTACACCTTATTATTTATTTTTTAAATGATAAATAAAAATGCAATTGGTATATGCCAATGTTATCATGTTATTTTTAAAATCTAACTATGAATAGCTTTCATATTTGGTAAGATAAAATTAAAATTTATTTCATATTTATTTATAACTAAAGGAATCCCCATAAGAGAAGATTCCCCCGTACAAAATTTATTATGTGTCAATTGGTGAGATTCTCACCCCATATCCCTATTAAAGAATAACATGATAGAGCTGTCCCACATAATTTTTTAAAAAGAAATGCGATAATCCCCCACAATATTTTCCCTAATTGATAAAGAGAAGAAAAAAAAACATAAATGAATTATTATTTTTCTAAGATGGGAAAGTGCCCATATAATGGGATCTTTTGACGATTGAAATGAGAAATGACATGAGCTATTGGGAGGCCTATGCACATCAATTTAATTGAATTCCATTATGAAAAATACATGTAATGTGGATGCCATGTTTTTCCTATACCTACATCTGTAAGAATATTTTCTATTATGTGGCACACATAATATATTGAGTATTATTTAATGACGTGGCAAAAGCCCATTGGCCAACTATTAGGGTTTTCTAAAGAGCACTTGATGGGAGTGTATAAATAGAAAAATAAAGAGATGGGTCCTCTCTCTCCTGACACAACGTTTGTTAACCCGTCAAAACAACGTTAGAAAGCAGACAAGGCAAGAGGGAGAAATCCACCTCAAGGAAACCAAAGCAAAGCACATATCGTGAAGCACACATCATG